AAAATCCAACAAGTTGCCCCTTATCATCAATTACTGGCCTCAAGCCATGAATTTCGGGAACTTGTCAATGCTCACAAAGAGACTGCTGGTTCTGGTCAGCTTGCAGATATTACTTCTGCACTGAGACATTCAAATTATGACAAAGAGATTAGTCAATGTTTCATTGAGAAGCAATTTAAAGAATTAAATGGTGATCAATTAATTAAGCAAGAAGAGAGAGAAAGAGGAGGCATAGGATTGAAGCCTTATTTGCAGTATCTGAATCAGAACAGTGGTTATTTGTACTTCTCTGTGGCTTCTCTTTCTCACCTTATGTTTGCCATATGCCAAATATTGCAGAATTCATGGATGGCTGCAAATGTTGACAATCCTCAAGTCAGCACATTGCAATTGATTGTTGTTTACATGCTGATTGGAGTTGGTTCTATAGTTTTCATGTTGATCAGAAGTCTTCTTGCAGTTGCTATGGGCCTTCAATCATCAAAATATTTATTTTCTCAGTTGGTGAACTCCCTTTTCCGTGCGCCTATGTCTTTTTATGACTCCACACCTTTGGGAAGGATACTTAGCAGGGTAAGCATATTGAACAATTTTTACCATGCAATGGATGAAAATTAAAGTAGAAGTATTTTGACTGTTTGTTTCCTTGTTTAGGTCTCATTGGATTTGAACATTGTTGATCTTGATGTCCCATTTATCCTCACTTATACTGCGGGAGCAACTATAAACTGCTACGCTGATCTTACTGTTTTAGCAATTGTCACTTGGCAAGTCCTGTTTGTCGCTATACCAACTGTTTATGTTGTTATCTGCATTCAGGTAGTGAACTGATTTATCTTTGAATTATATTATACAAAAGAAATGGTGCCTGCTATTTTAATCAATTTTCAGATACATAATGTTCATTCTTTGGAAGGAGAGGGGTGGGTTGGGGAGGCTTACAAACTAACTCTTCAGGTTTTATCTTTTTGGTGAATTGGTAATCATTTGGTAAATCCTTATTAGTGTAACTTTTGGTAATCCTTCTATAACTTACTTTAACCCTAGAATTTAAAATATTATTGAATGGTGATATGAACCAGTTATGTAAAATAATTAA